AGAATTGCTATAGTTCATCGAGACTCTGTAATTTGATTTACTTTTACTTGTCGCACAGATGTTCGAAATCGACGTAATATTACCAAATCTATCGGTCTTCTTACCCTTGATAAAGAAATCTAAGTGGAGCTTGAGGAAATCCTGTATCGAGGCGTACAAACAATGATGCTACCCGGTACTACCCAGGCGATAAACGACAGTGTCTTCTCACATATGATGGAATACGACAGTCGTATACGTGATGTGGTACGATGCCATCTGACCTTCGATTCATCCTCTTTTTTGTCCTCTTTTCAAGTCGGTTTTTCTCTTTTTTCTAAGAATATTAAAGAATAGCATTGGAATCTAAAAAAAACAAACAGAAATTACCTTGAAAGAACGCGTTATACAGAGATAACTTTTTTGGAGATTCTCTATGTTATAAACTGAACTTATTTCGCTGTAGTCAAGTATTGTCCATTAAAAAAATTCGTGCGTGTGACCATTTTTTGAATAAGCTTTGGCAGGAATGAGGAAAAGAGCTGCGATTTTCGCCATTCGAAAGAGGAGACTTGGAGACAACATTGTTTTCAGAAGAGTTTTCTAAAATAGACTTTCTAGAAGATCTTTGGAAAATTAGACCATCTGTAAAGATTTTCCAATAGGATTGGATTGCTTTTTTTTCATGGGCTGAGAGCTCGGGGTGTCCAAAATGGGAGTGAAGTCTGACCTTGATTTTCCGTGGTTCGGGCGTTGTATCGGATTTCCTACGAGTCCAAGGACTGGCATCCAGTGACTACTGGTAGCCTTAGAGACTTATGGGCTACGAGTAATCGACCATACTGAGTTTTGTGGAATATCTAGTTTAGAAAAAGTTTTAAAAATCGATCAAAAAGCCAGTTTTACGACTAAAGTTTTCGGCTGTTTTTCCCTAATATTAAAAAGTCCACTATTCACTCAAAAAACATCCCAACAAGCTCAAAACCTCAGGATATGATTAATGTTGTCCGCTAAACATGATTATAAGATCGAGAAAACCTAAAAGTATATTTTTGTTAATAGGTTTTTCAGAAACCCTTAGTCGCTGATTCAAAGGTGTATATATCCTGTTTTGTTCAGGAACAACTGCATTTTAGTATTGATTTGTTTCTGACTTATTATTTCAGATTTGATTCATATGATTTTTGGAGAAAAACTTCAATTTTTCAGCAAAACGCAAATTTCATACAGACACTTGATGTTCGATAAGTTGGGTTTTGACCCAAAATGACGTGTCACAGCGATTTTCCGGCTGAAAAATCCATTCCTCTTTTTTGACTTCAAATCCTCTTTGAAAAAAACCACGAATCGTCTTTGATTCCTCTTTTTTCAAAAATTGCAATCGGAGACCACGATGCCATGTAAACGATGAAATACAATGTGCTACGACAATCGTTTACGACCGTACTGGTTAAAATATTTTCAAAAATTTTTACACAAAAAGTAGAAGACTGTTGTAAACTATTGTATACGTGTCGTATTTTCATTGTGTGTGCTTTTCTCATCCGCCGTTTTGTTTTGTCACTGGAAGAGTATAAAAAATAATCAATTCTAAGGGAAAATTGTGAAATCATTTTTGGCTTACGAAATTTTTTCATAGCTCCCATCTAAGGCCACGTTTAGACGTGTTCTGGATGGGAAAATTATTGATTAAAAAATTTTTGAAAATTTAATTGGAAAATTAAAAAGTGAAAGGAGGTTCAAAAACGCGACTACTTTTGAAAAGCTTCCAAAAATTTGGTATGAAAGAAAACGTTAAAATAGTTTGCTTATTTTACGTAAAAGGAGTGAAATATTTGATGGGTGTTATAATGAGCGTAGCCCACGCGAACTATGAAAGATACTCAGCTGAGACAGAATGTAAAAGGCTTTGTTCACGGAGCTCTCTAATTTTACACTTGATACTGCATAGAATTCTAACATAATCTCCTATCGTTGTGCGTAGCATATGGTTTCAGAGTAAAGAGCATATTCAGCCTTGCAGTGCAAAACAATTCCAAGAGGAGGCAGCGTTTCTATTAACGAATAACGCTCGTGTAAATAAAGGTTAGAGTTAAATAGGAACTAGAAATTAACTCTCTTTTCATCCAAAACAGATCCAGTGTCACAGTAATTTTTATGATCCATACGGTACACTTTGTATACTTTTTAGCACGAACTAGACTACGGATGGAAAAGCAGAGTACGCGCATACATTATATAAAAAATATCTCATTATATTAACAACGTTGCCAGAAACTAAATAAATAATTAAAGCGATTGCCGCCAGATTCACACTTATAATTGACACTTAGGTCTATTTCTTTCGCTTTTGGCGGAAGAATTGTCATTAAGATTTCTTTTCAACAATTATGCAAGAAATTGCGCACTGCTTCGCATTATTTTTGAGCAAAAGAAGAGCTATTGTAGAANATCAGCCATCTTGAATTCCTATTGGTTGGCGTACAAAACAAATAAAATAGTTGTACGTAGCTACAAGCGCTTTTATAGTCGCTTTACGCGCCATCTTTTAAAAATACTAATTAAAAGGCCTAACGACAGAAGTTTGCTGATAGCGGTTTTTAAATATTCTAAGAGTTACCTATTCATTAATTTTCTCTAAAACAGTGCGAATATTTTGCACCTAGTTTCCATATGAATCGGAATTCTACCCGTAATTTTCTTCATCAGAACTCACTTTTTATGAAACAAAAATATCACATTCGGAGTTAGCAAAAAAAATTTTTGGAATATATATCATTCCACTCGGTTTTCGATGCTGAGTCCGAATATGATATTTTTATTGCATAAAAGGTGAATTCTGCTGGAGAAAATAGAGACTTAAGGGTAGAATTCCGATTTTTTTGCTCCTGCTTCAGAAGAAATGTATTTTCACAGTAGTAAAGCAAAATAAATAAAAAAGCGAAGCATACTTCTGAAGCTCGTCTAATGAAATAAAAAAGTCGGCTTCATCTCTTTACAAAATAAACTAGATAGGTTTGCAAAATTGTCCAGGAACATTTTACAGTGGAGTCAAGACGTCGATACTGTATAGACTTTTGACTTCAACCTCGATCACATATCATTCTCACACTCAGCTTTACCGAAACTTCATTTGACTGATGCACTAGTAGATCCAGCTAGATGCGTGAAGCTATCTGCATCGACTTTCACTAGATGCACAGTTATTTTTATTCTTTAAAAATCTCCATCGTCTTTTGGTCGATGCATCTAGCAGTTCATCGTTCACATCTAGCTGCATCGAGCGATGCTCGACTCAACTTTTCTCTTTTTCCAATGCAGCTAGTTGCATTTATCATTGTATCTAGTAAATCTAGATACATCAAGCGATGCTAGTCTGTTTCGTTTCTCTCAAAGCATCACTCCAATTTTTTCATTCTTTCCTTTATATTCGCATCATGATATGACAGATTTCGATTAAATAGATCAATGTGCCTGGATAGCCTAGTCGGTAAATGCTTCGTAAGTATATATATATATAAAATTCTATATATGATATAATCTGATACGAAGTAGTCGAGTTCGTTTTTTTTACTTTTTTGTATCTAGCTGCATCTAGCTGCAGTGATCTAAATTAGATGCAGAAACTATGAAAAAAAATCGATGCAAAAGGCGATGCACTGTTGATGCATCGCGCTAAATATCGCTTTTTTTACCATTTCAATATTCCTATATCCGTAGGCGATGCATCGCCTCCTGCATCTAGTGCATCGTTTTTACTAAATGCATCTAGATAACTAGATTTTTTTTACTCATTTATCTAGATGATTCGGCTGGATCATCGCCAGATGCACCAGCGAATGCTAGATGTATCTACATATTTTTGCTGAGGAGGTTTTGTTTGGGTAGTACTTCAAAGATTTTCCATTTAAAAAATAATTTTTTAGAACTAAAATGTAGACATTCGTGATTAGGGTCGACTTCTGCACTGAATGATGCATAATATATTAGAAAAAAATCCTGCTCAAATTTTGAATTACATGCACCTTATACTGTATCTATTTTGTTTTATTTTCTCTCTTTTTATAGAATCCTTTTTTCTCTACTCATTCATGCATGATTCAAGGTTGTTATCATTATCATTTTGCCTATAACACTACCGTTCATGATATTTTGAAAAAGCACAAGTTACAAATTATCCAATAAAACAAAAATTATAAATATGAAAGCAACTTGTTATTCTGGTTTTCTGGCTTTATAAATACTAAATAATTACAGCTGACTTCTTCAAAATACTAAAATGTTTACGTATATTTTCCTATTCTGTTGGTATTTTATTTCGTTTCAGCACGTATTAAGTGAATCAAGTGATTCTGATTGTTTAAATTCGTTTAGTAGCCTTGTATGCAAAAAACTGGCTAATATCCATTTTAGTAGAACAAGTTCATTGATTTTCAATAATGCTTCTTTTACTGCATTAAGTAATTATTCAGATAATTTTGGTCATTTACTAAAATTAGCTCCAGCTGCCGTTCTAAAACCGGGTGAAGCTAAAGATATTGTTAAACTGATTCATTTTGTTTATAATTTTAATTCAAAAATAAAAAATAGAAAAACTAAAATTTATCTTGCTTGTCGTGGAAATGGTCATTCAACAAACGATCAAGATTTACTGAATAAAACGGGTATAATTCTCGATATGAGTGAATTATCATCGATTCTACATATTAATACTAATAAATTATGGATAGATGTTGAAGCTGGTATTTTATGGTTGAAACTATTAAAAAAAACTTTAAAATTAAATCCTCCATTATCACCACGTTCTTGGACTGATTTATTAACGTTATCAGTTGGCGGTACGTTATCAAATGTTGGTGTTTCAGGTCAAGCAGGTCGATTTGGTCCTCAGATTTCGAATGTGTTAGAAATGGATGTTGTAACTGGAAGAGGCCGTTTTATTACCTGTTCGCCAAAATTGAACTCAAAATTATTCTATGCTGTCTTAGGTGGTTTAGGACAATTTGGTATTATTGTTCGTGCAAGAATTCCACTTCGTACTGCACCACTAAAAGCACGAACATATACAGCCGTTTATAATAATATTCAGTCATTCACATCGGATCAAAAAATGTTTTTAAATGATCCAAAAAAGTTGTTTGATTATGTTGAAGGTTCCATAAATGTTTCGTCAAACCCTTTTACTTTTACGATTGAACTAGTGAAATACTACAATAATTCATCTACTTTACCAACTGATAGTTATTTAGCTTCAATTTCACATTTTAAAGCCGGTTCATTAATTGGTGTTGATTCAACTTATTTTGACTTTTTAAATCGATTGCAAGCAACAGTAGATTATTTAATTTCAATTGGTACTTGGAATTTTCCTCATCCATGGTTAAATTTGTGGTTGCCTGCTTCGAATATAACAGAATTCTATAATTCTGCTGTTAGTTCATCTAATGCAACTTTAATCAATGGTCCTGTATTATTGTATCCAATTCGGACGAATTTGATCAATTCACAAACATCACTGGCTTTTCCTTCAGATCCGTCTAATGTCATATTTTTATTTGCTATATTAAGAACAGCATCACCTGAGCCCACTGCAATTTCTGCAGCCGAAGTTGATAATTTGAGACTCAAAACTGCTGCAATCGCCTTAGGTGGAAAAGGATTATTTAACGTTGCGTATACAAAAACTGAATGGATACAACAATATGGATCAAAATATGCCCGTTTATCGAAATATAAGAAAATGTACGATCCGCTTCATATTCTTTCTCCGAATCAACATATTTTTAATTAAAAAATTGAATTATTTTTATATCTAATGCAAGTAAATATATTTGTAGAAGTTCATTTCAGGCCCTCCTGACTTTTGAAGAACTTGCAGGCGTTTTATTCGACTCCGAAATTGTTAGCTTAATGCAACTGAGACTTCCTGTTGAGAAGCATTTTTAGATTGATTTTTAGTTATCAAAGTCGACGAAATGCATCAAAGATAAAGTGATCTTAAAAACATTGCGAAAAAAAAAAGTGATTAACCGCTTTTTCAGTGAAACCTATGGGAAAAGTATCCTGGACAAACGCATACGTCAAACAAGCTGAGGCTTTTACCTCAAAGAGATCTCAGTGAGTTGTGTTTGTGAAAAAAAAAGTCATTTGTTTTAAACTTGTTCATTTACACGTCAGTGATATATGGAACTACATCTGATAAAATCTTAATCGACTTGAGTCAACACAGTCACAAAGCTGCAAGAGCGATGTCAGGCGCTATGATTAGACCTGTGCACCGCCGCCGCGAATGAATGATTAGGATTTTTGGCGTCGGCGCCGCCGATGCTAAAAATACAAACTGGTTTTATCCATCAAAGTTTTGGATATAAAAAAGTCTTGGAAAATTAGAAAAACAGGAAGCTATGCTGACCGCTAACGATAGAAAATTTCAAAAAAATCTTTTAGGCGATAGATTTAGGAATGGGAACCGTTGTGAGATGTTTTTAAGCGGCACAGATTAGTTTTATTTCAAAGAATAGTTACGCGAAAAATATCTTCTTTCTTAAAAATTCTGCTGTCATGATGTACAGATCCACCCACTGTTCTTTCATACACGCTATGAAGTCGTGAGAAGATGCTGCTTCCAACTCCGACTCAATGGTATATCGTACAGTGCGAGAGAATACAATGAATTAAAATCGGTTCTGAAAAATCGAAGCACACATATTCGTGATCATCGTGAAAGACTCCACCCAACGGTGTATAATAAATGCAAATACTTTTTCCCCGTTTCTGCTTAACGCGCACCTTAGTTACGGTTTCGAAATACTTATCATCCACACTTTATACTTAAATAGAGTGTGAAGCATTTATTTGTTGCAAATAACTGTCAGGTTTTTGAAGGACTAAGTCAGAAAGCAAGGAAATTTGTTTTCTTTTTGTTGGAGATTGATATGACAGAGAAGAGTCAAATTCACTCAGGTCAAAGGTATTGCGAAGATAGAATTAATTTTTACTAGGAATAGGACCGTGTATAATGGATGATAATGTCCAACGAACATGTTATATTTTATCGACATGGTACGTTTTTCAGACTATTGAAAGCCAAAAAGAAGCTCGAGGAATGAATTAGAGAAAATAATCGTGTATGATTACTAAAGTTTTGCACAGAAGGTAAAAACACATGGTAAATGGTTAGAGTATTGCTTAACTCAATAGACTTTTTCAATAGTTAAAATTCTAAATGACAGTTGTGATGCAGTTTGTATTAGTGTAACCTACTAATAAAAAAAAGTGATAACTTTATAACAGTTTCAAAAAATATGCTACCATTTCAAAACTGGTATTTCAGTTATCAAATCGATCGGATTACAATATTATTACTGGACGAGCTAAGCTATGTAACTTCCACTGGAAACTTCAAGTGTTAGAATTGGTAAAGAAGTTAAAATATTAGGTAGAGCTGCGATAGAATTTGTTATTTGAACGTTATAGAAGAGTACTGCTTGCTGGTTTGTTACTATAACTGTAAGTGTCATTGGTAGTATCTGCGATAAAGTCTGCTGAATCGAAACTAATTCAGACGGTTCCTACCAACAGTAATAGTACCTTTCGACATCCCAACTCCTTTGTTCTGGTAAGTAGTTTTTGATGTCTTTTTTCCACCGAAGCAAGGAAAATAAATTGGAAAAGCACTAACAAATTGATGGCGTACAAAAACAAAATTTAAGAAATATCTTTTACCAACTGAAAATCTATTCGAATCTCATATCAATCAAATAATAGATAGGCTAGTGCATATCCAAATAAATTCCGGATATTACGTATAAAAGATCAAAAACAAAACTGATCACGTTGTTATGATACGGAACAAAAGATTAAGCGTTAATTTATACAAATTAAAATTTTTCAAGGAAAACATAATTCTCGTTCTTCCATATGCAATCAGACCTGTGAAACAACTTTTATGTCATCGTTATGATGCCTCAAAATCTTGTTCGAATACGAATTTCAAAAAGGTATTGATAATCATAAAAAAACAATTATGAGCTCATACAACCGACGTTCGCTGTTTCATTTTTTAGGTGATACGTTGCTGCGTTAAAAAACAGACGCGAGATCCATGAAGTTCCTTTTGATACTCTGTACAACCACTAATTATATTATTGTCTGCCTTGTTTGTTTTTATATAAGAAAAAGTGTCTCACTATCGTTGTCTTTTTATTGTAAAGAAAATTTGATGATGATCAACAGAATGCTGTATGAATCCATTAAATTTTATATTTAGCTAACAAGAAGTAATAAAAATTTTCTGGTAGAGTTGATTACGCTCTTGCTACTTCGGAACACTTTGTGCACAACAGTTTTCTCTCATATTCTCAATGTCGATGTTTTTTATTTGCTATTTGTAAAGTGCCAGAAATCCAAAAGATGAGTACTATTTTTTTTTTATTTAAATCATTATTTGAAAGAGCGCATCGAACTGAGTAAGAAAAAGTTGGTTTTTGCTTTTCGAAATGTTGTTTTCGTGTCGAAAAATTTTAAGAAATCGAAGGATCAGATTTTTAGAAAAATGTCTCTATTTTTAAAGTAATTAAAATTCTCTTCTTTATCATTATTTTCAAGTTTTCATTTTGAAAACCTCGAAAAAATACGAAGTTGTCTCAAGGTTTGAAAACTCACATCATTCGGTTCAGCTTTTGACGCTGATTCTGAATATGACCTTATTTTGCGGAAAGTTAAACTTTGATGCAGAAAATGTATTGAATAAACTCCTTTCCCATCGTCGATATCTTGTACGGCGCCGCTAATCCAAAAATCAATTGGAACAGCTTTTGAAATTTCAAACACATATTCTGGTTCGTTGGAAGCTGCTAATCACGAATCTGATCTTATTTTTTCCACTTGACCGAATTTTCATGCAGAAGACCTCAAAATACTGTGAGGGCGTCAAAAATCTCGAAAAAACGATTTTTCAGAAAAATCCTGATTATCTCCTGATCTTTTCATTTTTCAATCTCACCGGTGCGATCTTCGAATTCAGCATCGCGAAGCACATCTAGGCACTTGTCATTCGATGACTTTCTTCAAGTCTTAAACTCTTGTAGCTGATCAAACACTGGTCACTTGGACCTTGAAGTTCTTACCGCGCAATGCTATCTAGTTGTTTGCCATGAGAGCTAGAGACTTTTTTCATACGCCAGAAGATTCGCCTTGCCTTGCTCCACAAAAGTATGCTTCGGACTGACAAATCTCTTAAAGGATTTCGGATCAGCCGGATCTTTGAAAGTAAAATGGCCTTATCTTAGCCTAGAGATATGCTAGAATGCTCTGGGATCTCATTTTGCTGAGAATTTCACACTTTGTCGATATAATGCGCGTCGGATGAAAACGATTTCCGAAAGGCGCTTGAAGGTAGAACTCTGAGAAACCTTTAAGAGCCTTCAAGAGAGATCACTTGTGGAAAGTAAGTCAGAGCTGTTCGCAGACTGTTGCTGCTGCGAAATGCACATTCTGAAAGAGAAAATACAGAAGCATAGTTATGCTTGAATGGATCACTTACAGATTTTTGCTAAGCGACCGCATTATTTCTTTCTCAATTAAATAGAAATCAAAACTGAAATAAACATAGTAAGGCGCCGCTAATTCAAAAATCAAGTGAAAAAGCTTTTGAAATTTCAAACACATATTCTGATTCGTCGGACGCTGCTAATCACGAATCTGATCTTACTTTTTCCATTTTTCGATCTCACCGGTGCGATCTTCGGATTCAGCATCGCGAAACACATCTAGGCACTTGTCATTCGATGACTTGTCATCGACTCTTGTAGCTGATCAAACACTGGTCACTCAGACCTTGAGGTTCTTATCGCGCAATGCTATCTAGTTTTTTGCTAGATAGCTTTGCCTTTTCCACCCTACAGCAAGCTTGTTTCCAATAAAAAACTTTTTAATCCGCCCATAGCATTTTAGTTTAGCAGCCTAAGTTCTCTAAAACAAAATTTTTCAAAATTTTCAGATCTATTTTTGAGCAAGCACCATTTAGAAAAACGCGAAAACTCCTCAGTTCAGTCAGACCCTCACAGTCAGCGAAAACATCATCGCTGCCGCAGGTGTAATCTCAACGACGAAAGGATTTTGAAAAATCAATACTTCTAACCAGGGAACCTAGCCAGATGTCCCCTTCCGTTTTAAATGATTTGTATGCCAGTCGATAGAGCAGAGTGTCCTAGTAAAAACCCTAAAGGATTTGTTCCGATGGTGCTTCTTTCAAAAGTTTTGTCTATTTTTTTATTTTTTTACTAGGAACTGTAGTAAAATAAAAAATTTCTTATCTCCGTAAAACAACGAGAAAAGAGCTGAATTCTTTTCAGTAAGTGTGCTAGTAGTCTGTTAATTCCACAGAAAGTTTCAGCCTTCTAACCCTATTATAGAAAAATTATAGAATTTTTATTTCCCACGGAAAACCACGTTAGACTGAATAACAACATAAACTGTATAGAAACTTGATTTCTGTACTAGAAGGCTTGAAACTACATCAGTTGTTCCCAAGAGACCATATATCTTGCGAGTATTTCTATCCGATAGAAAACAGCTCAGTGGGTTAGAATAGAATTTTAATTTTAAGATTGCTTTTGCGTCGGAATCCCATTCGTTTAATTTTTTCCTTTGACCATGTTGATGATACTTTAGTTATGAGCAAAAATGGAGGTTTGACGAGAAATAATGGAGTTTTAAAGAAAAAACGCAGTTTTGAGGAGAAAAGATTGAATTCTGACGAGAAACGATGGATTTTCATGAAAAAAGATG